GGGTGCTAAATCGGAGTTGGATAAATACATTAGTGAAGAACAAGAGCCTTTTAGTGAAGAATTTGATATCTTGAGTTGGTGAAAAACACATGCTCCTAGATTTCCTATTCTTTCGGAGTTGGCTCGTGATGTGTTGGCAATACCAATTTCTAGTGTGGCGTCGGAATGCGCGTTTAGCACTGGTGGCCGTATTCTTGATTCATTTAGGAGTTCATTGACTCCTAAATGTGTGCAAGCTCTTATTTGTGTTCAAGATTGGCTTAGAGAAGAGAAGAATCCTATTAGTGTTGAAGAAGACTTGAAGTATCTTGAGGAACTCGAGCTTTGTAAGCTTTAATATTTTGTGTGTATTTTAATTCAAAATAATATATCATGCTTTTTCATTTGTATGACATATTTGGTCGTATTATCTTTAGATATGGAAAATAATGGAAGCACTACTAGCATTGTTTGATGTATAGTTGCAACTTGCATCTTGAGTGTAAGTTTAATACTCTATTTGTTTGGTGATAATGATATACTTAATATTTTGTAGTTTTGTTTTATTATCATCAAACTATAATATTCTAACTTATGATTTATATTTTTTTTAGGTTCAAGTGCAATCATGCCCCGTGCTACTACTCAACGCCCCGTGCTACTGCTCAAGACTGTTTGTTGAGGGATGCCCTCTCTGTTTTTGTTGCACTATGTTTAACTGTTTAAGTGTTAAGACTGTGCAGACTTGCAGTTGGCCAGTTGCAGTGTTGCACTGTGTTTAAGTGTTAATACTTAGGAGTTAAGACTGTTTTTGTTGGACTGTGTTTAACTGTGTTTAAGTTGTTGGACTTGTTGGACTGTGCTAAGTGTTTAACTATGTTTATGTTGTTTAATATAGTTGTGTAATATGCATTGTGCAGTTGGCTAGCTTTTGCCAACTACAGTATACGCCAGATTCATTGCAAGTTTGTATATGACATACAGTATTGACATACAGTATTGACTATATGAAATTGTAAGTATACTGGCGTGCAAGTTTGTATAATGTGTATTGACTATATGACATACAGTATTGACTATTGACATTGAGTATACTGGCGTGCAAGTTTGCAAGTTGCAACTGCAGATGTTATTCTTGTTTCAGGCTTTCAGCCATGTGCACATTGTGGTTGTGCAATTGTGCACTGTTATAGTGTTATATATCGAAAAACATATTCTTTTAGAGTGAAAATTTCAATTGTGCATGTGCACTGTAAGCACTTAGCATTGATTGTTCATTGATTATTAAACCGAAACCGTACCGAACCAAAATAAGAAATACCGAACCGTATCGAAATAATTTGGTACGGTATTTGGTATACACAATCGATAAATCGAATACCGAAATACCGAACCGAAATTCTTAAATACCGAACCGAAATATCGAACACCCACCCCTAGTGCTTCAGACCTTAAGGGAAAAGAAGTTATATGCTAAGTTCTCGAAATGTGAGTTTTGGTTGGATTCCATGGCATTCTTAGGCCACGTGGTGTCGAGTGAGGGTATTCGGGTGGATCCGAAGAAAGTAGAGTTGTTGCTGTGTGTTTTACTTTGGGACTACGGGACGACATCCTGGGATATCCCCTACACGTATTTATGATTTGAGCTGAGGTGAGGGATACCGAGAGATACCTAGCACGTATATTGAGGATACCAAGAAATCCCCGGGATACCAAGAGATCCCTAGCATATATTGGGAATACCGAGAGATTCTCGGGATACCAAGAGATCCCTGGCATATATTCAGGGTACTAAGAGATCCTCGGGATACTGAGAGATCCACGGTTATTATCCTTGTGAAGAGTGGTATTTCTTTGTGATCATTTTTACCTCTGTTTCAGTTATTGAGTTCCTTCTTCTTCCTGTATTAAATTTTTATTGTTAGCTTTCAACTGTACTGCTTATCTTATTCTGGCATATCTTATATTTTTATTTTATCTCGGTAGGGCTCTGACCTTTCTCGTCACTACCCGACCGAGGTTAGGCTTGGCATTTACTAAGTACCGCTGTGATGTACTCATGCCCTTTCTGCGCATTTTTTTCATGTGCAGATCCAGGTACTTCGACTCAGTCCTATCACCCTTGAGGCGAGGCGACTGCTGCAGAGACTTCGAGGTATATCTGCCGCATCCGCAGACCTAGGAGTCCCTTTCCATTTTATCTTGTAGAGATAGCCCTTCTATCATTTCTGTTGATATAGACATTCTGAAGTTAGAGCTTTTTTATTATATTCGTAGCCTGTGATACATGGGTTTCCGGGTTTTGGGAGAAATGTATTAGTCTTGAGAGTTAATATTGTGTATGTCGAGCGGCTCTTTTAAACGTTGTTTTATTACACTATTTTTGTTTTAAATTGTTTTCTTCCGCAAATTGGTTTATCTTTTGCGTTTTAGGCTTACCTAGTCATAAAGACTAGGTGCCATCACGATGGTTCACGGAGGGCGAACCGGGGTCGTGACAGTTTTAACGGTTAGTTTTATTTTAATAGTTATTTTTTTAAGTAAGATTAATTAGTATTTTAATAGTTTATCTTGTTTGCTATATTATTTTTATATACAAAAAGGGAAGAGGGAATAAAAGTAATTTTTTGGACTAATTTTTGTCTTGCTTTTAGCCCAATTAAGCCAATTTCTTGGCCCATTAACCCAAAAGCCCAAACCTAGACACTCCTTTAGCATAATAAACAAGAAATAACCTAAAATCCAAAATAAAAAAACAAGACCCAACGCATAAGGAGGAATCTGCCGTATTCACAAGAGACCTCCCAGTGTTGCTTCTTCTTCAATCTGAATACACACACGCAAAAACCAACGGGGACACCCATCGAAGACCCCTATCTTCATCTTCCTCCCCTTCCACACACCCTAGACCAAGAGAACCAAAATTAGCCACAACAGACCATTTTGGACACAACCATCAACACACAAAATCGCTAGAACAGCCTCAGACCTGCACAAAATCCGACGAACCAGTGTTTTGCAATGAGCTTTTCGAGTCAGCCGAGGTCGATTCCGGTCAAGATTTGTAGATAGGATAATAGAATCACGCCGAATATGGTAAGTCTCGCCTGAAATGGGGAATAATAGTGGCAAAACCTTCAGATCCGGCTTTTTGAAACCTTTAGATCTGGTCTTCATCTCCATCATCTTCTATCTTCTTTTAAAAAATCCAGCAGGTTTTTTCGTTGCCATTGTTGAACCAAGTTTATCAAAGATCCGAGGTTGATCGATTGGGGTGCTGTTCGAAGTAGTTTTGTTCAAGTTCCATCCGTCTCCAATTTCGGCATTAGTAGTTGGCTTACGATACTTGTGTAACTGCTAAAATTTCTGTTAATTGAAGTTTTAATTTCAGGTCTTTTTTCTTTTCCTTTTTACTTGCTTTGATATTGAAGTTCAATGTGACTGAGTGCCCCGCTTGTTTGATGAAATATGTTCTGAATTGCTGATTCGTTTACTCGGCCAGTTGATTGTTGGTTTTGTTCGTCTACGCTTCTTGTGTTAACTCTTGGAGTTTGAATTAATCATAGCTGGAAATTGCCGCAATTGGCATGTCTTCTTTGTATATTTTGTTTGCTATTGACTTCTCCTTTACAGTAGTTTAATTAGTTTAGATCACAAATCGATAGTGCAGAATATTGTTTGAATTTAAAAGAAACAGAGTCAAAGTTTCATACTCGCGGTCTTATTTTACTACTTTAGCTAAGCCCTTGGCAGAAGTGGACAATTCCAAGTGTTGTTTTGGACTCAGCTTTATTTAGTTGAGAACATTTCTTTTAGTTCGAATACAGCTCATAGAATATGTGTAGGACGACTTCCTTTGTATCTTTTGAAATTGCTAGAAATGGGTAGAAGATGCGTTTAAAGATCTAGTGCTTTGAAACATGTATTTAACTATCTGAGCCAATTTATCTTCCGTGATTCCTTCTTTAAACACTAAAACAATGTTTCTTCATGATAAATGGGTAGAAGGATATTAACAGTATGTTTTCCTTGTTTTACTCTTTTAGTAATTCTAAAGGTCTTTCACATTATGCTTTGTTTAAGAGTGTCACTAGACCTTGATCCTGCTGTGACTTCACGATTGTGTTCCTTAAGTTCTAGTTATCTCTCTTTGGTTGAAAATCTAGTTTACGCATGCTATTTTTGCCATGAAAGTCGAGAAGATGAGCATGAGAACATGAAATATGAGTTTCCTTTTGTAATAGTTCTTTAGATAGGGTGTAAATTATAAGTATTCCGTCAATTGTGCTTAGCAAATAGACAAAACAAATGGCTCAAATTTAGGCGTGCTCTTAATTAATTTATTATCGTGATTATGTACACATTCGCGTGACAAGATTACACGTTTAAAAATGAATATTCATAGAAAATGCTTTAGGCGCGAATTAATCTATCATCGTGGTTGTGGACACGTTCGTGTGACATAGGTATGATCTTAAAAATAAAATCGGGGTATGAGTTCGCACAACTTTGACTAAACTTCCTAAATATTAATAAAGCGTTATTAATTGTGGACATGTTCGCGTGACATGATTTTTGACGCACCAAACAAATGGGTACACGTACGCGTGACTTGGTCTAAGATAATTTCTTAATTAAAAGAAGCAAATGTACATAGATTCTAAAATGAGTAATTAGACAATTTGATTAAGCCAAGTATGATCAAAGCGACCGTGCTAAAACTACGGAGTCCGGGAATGCCTAACACCTTCTCATGGGTTAACAGAGTTCCTTACCCGGATTTCTGTGTCCGCAGACCATGAATAAGAGTCAACTTCCTCGATTTGGGATTTTAAACTGGTGACTTGGGACACCATAAATTATCCCAAGTGGCGATTCTGAATCTAATAATTAATATCATTTCGATTGTCACTTAAATTGGAAAAAACTCCCCTATACTCTATCCGGGGTAGAAAAAAGAGCTGTGACAGCTCTGACGACTCTACTAGGGAATAAGAACCTAGAATCTCTGGTTCAGGTTTCAAGAATTCGAGCTTGTTAATGTGATTTTTACTTGGCTTTATTTATTGTTGATATTACTGTATTTTGCGGACCTAATGTGCTAACTGCCGTTTATTTACCGTTTTGATATTATTTGAATTGTACTAAAATGTGTTCTTACGCCTCCCTTTTGAGTTTTCTAAAACAAAATGGTGCATACGTTCGCGTGGCCCACTTTTATGTTCGAATTTAGACCAAATAGAGCAAGGCTAGGCCAGCAACAAGGCCATGCAGACATTCGTGCTCCTGGTACGTTGCCCCCACCTCAGCTCGAGTTATCCGCTTGGGTAAGCCAGGTCTAGAATACAACCCCAGGTTTAATCCTAGAATAACATAACCTCATGTCGGATCCCTAGTAGAAATGTTTGTTGCATCACATGCATTTGATTTAGGGGACTCAAAATAAAAGACCATCCCGATGCATCCTATGTGCTACATGTTACATTTCTTCAAGGGTAAAAGGGTAAATTAGCGGACCAATGATGGATAAGGGTAAATGAGAAAAAAAGAGGGTGAAGTGTGAAAATAAAGCAAGTAGGGCCCAATTATGTTTTCTTTCATATTTTTTTAAGAAAAATAAAAAAAGTATGAAAAATCCATAATGATTTTGTACTTTCCCATAATTTTCCAAAAATAAAAAAAATTCAAAAAAATAAAATAAAAATGAAAATCCAAAAAAAGAGTTTACATGTTTCATCTTTTTTTTTATAAGAAAGACAAAAAATATATTTTCTCTAAATTAGTTATTTTTTTAATTCTCGCTCGTAACCAATCTCCCCGAACTACGCATACTTGATTCTTGTCTTTCGGAGCGTGATACGTAAGAAACCCACATAGGTTCTGGTCTTCTTAGTGAGTCTTAAGTTCTTGGCTTCGAGGGTCGTAGCCAAATCTAGCATCTCTAGCCACTTTTGGCTACATTGGTTGTTTTTGCAAAATATGGTTATTTTCGCAAAATGGTTTGTTTAATTGTCTAAAGAGTATTGAATCCACAATTAGGCATCTCTTTACTTTAAGGCTCGTCCTTATCGAATTTGCA